CCTAAAAAGACGCACCATGACTTATAAATGAGACTAAATGGACCTTCTAGATGAGACTTATAAATGAGACCGGAGGGAGTATTAATTATAAATACTAAATAAATAAATTATAAAAAATAATTTTTTAATATGGTAAAATAAAATTCTAAACCAAGAAGAGAGTATAGATGTAGCGTTTTCAAGCTTAACAAACACCGCCTCTCTGATTTTATTTATTAAATAATAAGTTGTACTAATTAAAATTACCAATCAAATAAATTATGATAAAAATTATTAAATCTGATAATAAAATACTAAATCAATAACAAGGTAGAGAGGTGACATTTTCAAGCCCAAGAAACACCACCACTCTACTTTTCAATTATTAAATAATTATACAAATTAATTATTAATATTAACTAAATAAACTTTAATAAAATAATATTTTATATTATAAAAAAATTATTTAAATTTTGAATGATGAAGAGAGGTGGCTTTCCAAGTTTGAAAATGCCACCTCTCTTCATTCATTTATTAAATATCATTATATATTAATTATAAATACTAAATAAATAAATTATAATAAAATAATTATTTAATAAGATAAAATAAAATTTAAAAATAATAAGAGAGTATAGATGTGACATTTTCCTTAGCAAATACTGTCTATTAAATAGTATGTTGTACTAATTAAATTTATTAATTAAATAAATTATGATATTATAATTATTTAATTTAAACAAATACTAAATCAATAATAGAGTAGAGAGGTGATACTTCCAAACCCAGAAATGCCACCTCTTTGCTTTTTAATTATTAAATAATAATATATATTAACAATTAATATAAACTTAATAAATTTTAAAAAATAATATTTTATATTATAAAAAAACTAATTAAATATTGAATGAAGAAGAAAGGTGGCGTTTTCAAGTTTAAAAATGCCACCTCTCTTCATTCATTCACTAAATATCATTATATATTAATTATAAATACTAAATAAATAGATAAATTATAATAAAATAATTATTTAATATAATAAAATAAAATTTAAAACTATAAGAGAATATAGATGTGAAATTTTGAAGCTCACCAAACACCATCTATTAATAGTATGTTGTACTTATTAAAATTATTAATTAAATAAATTATAATAAAATAATTATTAAATCTGATAATAAAATACTAAATCAATAACAGGGTAGATACATGGCATTTTCACACTCAGGAAATGTCACCTTGCTACTTTTTAATCATTAAATAATAATATATATTAATAATTGATATTAACTAAATAAATTATAATAAAATAATATTTTATATTATAAAAAAATAATTAAATATTGAATGAAGAAGTGACGTAGGGTTTTCAAATTTGAAAATGCCACCTCTCTTCATTTACTTATTAAATATTACTATATATTAATTATAAATACTAAATAAATAAATTAAAATAAAATAATTATTTAATATGATAAAATAAAATTTCAAATCAACAAGAGAGTATAGATATAGCATTTTCAACCTCAGCAAATATCATCTCTCTAATTTTATTTATTAAATAATATAATATACTAATTAAAATTATTAATTAAATAAATTATGATAAAATAATTATTAAATATAATAATAAAATACTAAATCAATAACAAGGCATAGAGATGACATTTTCAAGCCCAAAAAATGCCACCTCTTTGCTTTTTAATAATTAATATTTACTAAATAAATTTTAAAGAAAATACTTTATCTTATAAAAAATAATTTAAATATTGAATGATGGAGAGAGGTGGCGTTTTCAAGTTTGGAAATGCCACCTCTCTTCATTCATTTATTATATATTAATTATTAATACTAAATAAATAAATGATAATAAAATAATTATCTAATATGATAAAAAAAATTTTAACTAGAGAAATATGACACCTAGAAGTCTATGTCATTCCAATTTATCATTAGGCTAGGTTTAACAAAAGAAATACTCAAGTTAGACAAATATGGTACAACATAATATCCACGACACACAATATAAGGTTCATATATTCTCACCTGAAAGTCATGTAATTCTAATTTATCATTAGGCTAGGCATAACATAATGCACAACTCAACGTTCAATAAAAACAACTCAGTTCATTTTTACACAACAAATACTCTAACATTTTTGATAGAAGATTTTCTTCATATTAGATCATATTTTATTCAGTTCACATGTAAAAATCCAATATAAACAAGTCAACCATCATTATTGTATAATAACTAATCCACTCTAAAATTTTTGTAGCTAAAATAGTTCAGCAACATTTACCTCATATCAGCAATAGAATCACAAATAAAATTTTAATTTCAACATCACATTGTAGTTTGTACAACAAAAAGTCCATCTAATATGCATCCTACTACCTCATGTAAAACCCCAATTAAATGCTTCCATTAAATGAACTATTACATATTGAATGAGTGAAGATCACTTCTGTTGTCACTTCACCAGCAACTAATATGCAGCAATAACAAACCTTAAATTATTTCTACCCTTAAATTATTTCTACAACAAAAAAGGATGCTGCTCATTTCTATAGCAAGAACAGTAAAAATCTCAGCTTATTTTTACAACAAGAACGTAAAAAACCTGAAAACCTCCAGCTGAGATCTTGAAATCATTAGAAGCATTGCTGAAAATAGAGGAATTTTGAAATTTGTGCACCTTGAAAGTTACTCCTCCCGATTAGAGCTCAAAAATATTCTCATCCTCCAGCTGAATACCCATTCTTGCATTTGTCATCCTCTTTCTGCATTTAATTACATTTCTTTCCATTAAGGGCAAAATAATATTTTTTTAGTGTGAAGAAATGTTGCAATTGGGGCTCTAAGGCCTACAAAGCAATTTCAGATTGATTTAGACCTTAAATGATATAAACTATGTTTTTAGGGCCCTTAATGCCATTCACCCCATTTTTTATGTACAAGAGAGAATTATTGTTGAGTAACTTCAATAGTGATACGTCACTTTATCTTTAATTTAAATGGTTTATAATTTTTTACATTCGTTTTTTTATATATATTGGTATGTTATCTGATGTGTTAGGCCACTTTTTTTTTTTATCTCTATATAAAACTATATTAACTCTCTGCACGGGGTGTAGGGATATTAGTCTTTAAAAGAACAAAATCCTATAAATTAGAAGAAGGTAATAATAAAATCTATGAATTCTAGTTTATGTATACAATATAATGATAATAATTGGAAGAGTATAATATATAGAGTTGTTGTTAAAAACAGTCTTGATGTCCTGTCGACAATGCACACACACAATGATAATAATTCTAGCTAATTAATATTTATTGGTTGACTCTTAACATACAACGATAATAAAATCTGCGAACTTAGTGCGTGTTTGGGTATTTTACTTTTTACATTTTAAAAGGACTTTTATAACTTTTAGAAAGTAAAAGTAATTTGGCTAGCATTTTATTTCTAAATATATATTCTAAAAGTCTATTCATATGAGCATCAAAAGTCCTTTTCTAAAAAAAAAATTGGGAGAGTTGCTTTTAATATTTTAAATGTAGGAGTTAAAATTTTTAACCACCTCATTTTCTAAGTTGTCCCTTGTTAATATTTTTTTAAAAATGAAAATAAAAATATTTATAATTATTTTTTCAACATATCAATTTTTTTATTATTTATAATTTTTATTGGTTAAAATATCAAATTTTATATTATTGAAAATGTATCCTCTTTAGTAATTATACATTTAAAAGTATTTTTTATCATATATTATTCAAACAACTTTCAATTTGTCAAATTAATTTTTTTAAAAAAATCCAAACACAAATCTCATTGCAGTAACTAATTTTTATTAAATAAACTTTTGACAAATGAATTTTTTCTAAACTAAAAACCAAACGCAACTTAATTATTGTTAATAACAATCTTGATGTCCCTATTGACCGACCTCCAGTTGTCCTTTTTTATTAGTAAAGGGGTGAATGTGTTAAGCTTGGGAAAATAACAATTTGTTGGAGAAAATTTATATTAGTCAAAGACTAATTATTGTCAAAACTTGAATAGACTATTGTTAATTTAAAATGAATTGCTGTCAAAACTTGAATGAATACTTGTTGATAAAAAATTAACTCAAATCAGTAAGTATTAGTTCAAGTTTTGACAACAAGTGATCTTTAACTGATATAAATTTTCTCCAATAGTCCTTGATTGATATTTTCCCATTAAACTTTTGCATTATAATTGATATTGTAAAAAAAAAATGTTTTTGCATTATTGAGATGATGTCACCTGCAAATTGTAAGTTTTTCATTTTATTTTATTTTTTTTTATTTTTATATCAGGCGTGTTCGAATCCTTAACCTCTACATATACCAAGCCCATATTTATCACTTGAGCTAGCTATCAAAGCTTGAGTTCATTTATTGTGTCCTATATTTCAAAACCCTTCTCTTGCATAGCAGCCAAAGGCGTATTTTTTTTTCCTGAATATAAGGCGAATTATATTAAAAGAAATGAAATGTGAATAATAAATTAAAAATTAATTAAAACCCTAGCATGGGCGCCAAGTGATAGAAGTTGGGGAGGAGAAATCAGAAAATAAACAAGAAATCAAAGGAGAAAAAAAGATCCTAATATATCGTCATATTGATAATTGAATGCAAGCTAGTTGGAAAAAGAATTTCGATTTGCAAGCTAATAAGAAAAAGGAGAAATCATTTCCAATGGAAAACAAAAAGAAAATCATTTAAGGTGATTTTATACATGTACAAAGAAGAATGTTAGAATTACCTGTAATTAATGAGGGTTGAACAATTACTTTGAAATTTTGTAAAGAAAGGCAGAGGAAGACAGAAAAAACACTCAAAAAAATTATTGAACAGAACATTTTAGTAAACAATATATTCAAATATGTGATTGTTAATATAGCACAATAACATACTATACCTATAGCTGACTCCACTTAATAATATTATACTAGTTGATGTTATTGTTTATCCAGCGGATCAATACGTGGCATGGTTTAATTTCACCTTCTGCTAATAACCTTGTTTAATACTAGTTACACCGTAGCATGACTCTCAGAAGAAATGAAAGAAGAAGAAGAAGAAGAAGAAGATTTCTCTACGTATAGACTTTTAAGCTATGTTGACATTTCTCTACGTATAGACTTTTAAGCTATGTACATCTTACAAAATATATCTCAAACAAAAACTTTTCAAAGGTTCAATAAATTTAATCTCGGTCAGATATGTTGACGACCTTTTGTCTCCAGCAAGAAAATTTTGGACCACCCCCTTAGTTTATTCCCCACGCCTGCAAATTATCATAGGATTCAGTAACTCTTTTAAGGCCAAGGCAACAAAGATCAAACACTATTGTTTAAGGCAATTATGTGTGCTTCTTGGTGAATAGATATCATGAATGAGTAAACATCGAATCCAAAAAAGAATTGTAATTAATAGTCAATATAAACATTCAGATAAAAAGACAGGATTCTAAGGGAAAAGGGATACCTGAATTCGGCCATCAGATGTTCCAATCACCAAAATTTCTTCATTGTCATCGATAGCCATGCAAGTGATCTTACCATTCGTACCAATCTGTAATGTATCAATTCTATTATGTTTCTTCCTATCCCAAATTTCCACAGCTCCTCCCTTGCATCCTAAGTAAATTAATTCTGAGCTCAATGCCATCGTCCTCACTTCTGAAGCAGTTACAAGTGATCCAATCATGCTATAATTGGACTTTTTCCATATCTTGAATACAAATATAAAACAGAGTTAAATGATTAACTTCGGTACAGCATTCACTGAAGCAGCATCTCAATTACTTTAGATTCTTTTTCATGCTACAAAACTCTAGACAACCCTTGGGCACAAGAACTGCCGTTTATTCCAAGAATCTAAATAAATTCTTGGGTGATGAAAGAAGAATGAAACTCTTGATTTTGAGTTATGAACTACTGTAAAATTATCGTCATTTAATAAGTTTGAATTAAGTTCATTTTAGAGGCAAAACTGATGTTTATTATGGGAATTATGCAACATTTTAACTGCTTACTTGGAAGTTTCATACTGGAACATAATTACGAGACTCTGGGAGAGGCAATTTGTTTAATTTTTTGATGTGTCCTTCTAAATATTTCCTCTAGATGATGGTAGTGATATGTCATGAAATTATAGTCTTGAGAAGGATACCTTTATAGCAACTCCATCCAGAGTAGAACTGGCTGCATATATATGTTCACCATGTATCTGCAGGGCATAAACGGGATTTGCTTTACCAAGCAATCTTTTAGAACCACTTTGAATGGTATTGACAGTTCCTTTTTCCAAATCAATCTCCTGAAATTTCAAACAAGTATTATTTTCAAAAAGGCAAAAAGGATCAAAGTGGTTAAGACTGTCATAACTCTTTAAAACTTGTTACCTGAATACTGTTGTCGTGACATCCACAGTATAGTCTCTCTTGAGCAAGAGCCAAGCATCTGATGTATTTGTTACTGTTTAACAGCCTCAGTTCTCCATGCAATGATTGAACCTTAATAATTAACAACTTAGTTTTAGACTTTAGGTGAATAAATGATTTCTCTTTTTTCCACAAGTACATAAGAACTAATTGATAAGAATTACATTCGTTTGGGGGAGAAGAAGCATTAAGTTCACCAGAGATAAAACCGACTGAGACATTTACTTTTTAAAGAAAGAATCAGATAGAGAAAAGTAATAAAGAAAATATTGCAAAATGTAACTCATAGCAATTAAACAAGCAGGATGTACTAGTGTAACAGAAAGGCTTTTTCCTGATAAAAGGAAGACTGGTGGGGTGTTATAATGGGATCAGGCATGCTAAGGGGTGGTCACATCAGACTCGTGGTCCATCAGATGAAAGAAGAAGAAGAAGGATTCATGATTTCATTTAATACCTTGACACCATTTCCCTGGGGAATGTAGCAAAATTTGTTGTTGGTTACAGCTAAATTATGAATATGATCTTTCATGTCATGCACTTGTACGCATTGTATTGCTGACTTTCCGATAGACCAGACCTGGTCGTCAATGAAAAGAGAGTTTTATTGAGATGAAAGCATAACATTAGTTTTTTCTCCAAGGAAAAAAGAGAAAGCAGAGGGTATTACCTTAACAGATCGATCAAGTGAACCACTGTACAGTCTGTCAATAGATTCTAAAATTGACAAACTTGAAACAGCCTTCGTGTGTTCTTGCGTCTCTTGTATCAGATGGAATAAGCTCCCCCTCACTGTCCAGACCTTTAGAAATTACAAAGAATTTGTCAAATGAGCTTAAGTTTTTTATATTGCACAAAGTTGTTAGACAAATTAGACTATAACATTTTTTTTTTTTCCAGATTCAGGAATAGATTCCCTTTAGTTAAGCATAAATCCATGTTCGAACATAACTGGGTCTTGCATGAACCCGGCACTTCCACTAACTACATATTGCTAGTTTGATCACATGAACAATGGTTAAAGTAAACATTGATTTAGTTTCAACTGATTATTTCAGTTATTCTAGTCGTTTGTTTCCAATACTTAAATCATTTGAGGTGCTCAAGAAATTTGTAATAGTTTAATTACCTTGATAGTTCCATCTGAATGACCTGAAAAAATTTTATCCTTGTGACAAATGACAGACAACACTTCTCCATTCTCACTGCAATCTACCTGAATTAACTCCTTATGCATCCAGATGCCCTGTTTCAATCAAGAACATTTACGTAGCTAACACAGTGGCTCTATTTTAAAACAATTTAATAATATAGAAAACTTACTGCTTTAGATTCATTCTCTTCAACCAAAAATTTGAGCATTTCAGATGCAAGGGGGGAGAATCTCTTTAGCTCTCTTAGACCTTTTAGGACATCCTTAGTGTAGGAAGAAAGATCAAGCAATGCGTCTGAAATTTACAATGTCAAGCACGCTCCTCATTTTCTTAATTTCTACCATAATGACAGACCTTCTTATATGCATCAGTAAACAACATAAAGTAAAACAATTGAATTTGAGGCTTAGAGCTTTATGCACATGGAAAAAGGAGAGTTGTTTGACATGGAACAAAATATAAAGATACCAAAATATTTATATAAATAAAGTCTGACATAAATTAGTTTGTTGCATTTTGTGTCTTACTTATTTTTCATATTTCCAGATGTAGTCAACCTGCTTTTCATTATTTCTCAAACAGAACTTTTTGTTCTAATAGAAACACATGGCTCATACAACTTACCAGGGTATTGAAGAAAGCTGTTTAAAGCAAGCATAGAAAGGACTCTATCTTCTGTGTCCTTAGAAGATTTTAATATAGATACAAAGTGCTTGAGCATGCAGACACAGGCTGCTCCTCGCGTTCCTGTATCAGGTAGAATGTTAAGCATGTATGTAAGCCATGTGGCTGACACAAAGCATGCTGAACTTAGTTGTGTACTTCGACTTTTCACGCCTTCAGCGAAAGCCTCGAAAAGGAGGCCAAACTCATGGCTAACTAAAACGGACGCAATTTTTCTCTCCCAATCATCAGCTGCCTTCTCTTCTTCCTGTTGATATCAAATGGAAAAGAAATTAATAATAAATGAGGAGACCAAAAGAATTATCTTTGTTATCAGGATGCCAAACCAAATATACGAGATTAAAAAAGACGTTTGCCTGGCAAATATCAGAAACTCAAAACCCAGTACTTAAAGATTTTAGAGAAATATACTGGATTCATTTCAAGTTCTCCGCTGATATGATCCATCTGATCAAGATTTCTATAATTTCCATTAACGCCTGCACGTTTAAGAAGGACTTCTCTAGTAAGAGGCTTCCCACTGAAGTTGAATCTTCCTTGCAATGACACTATTGTCTCAGCAGCTATTACTTGGGCAGCCGGGAAATCAGTGTTCCTGAGGCATGAAATAAGAGTATCTATAGACTCTTCACGGTATATACTCATCTTTCTTGGCTCTACCTGCACACAAAATTATGATTACAACTCCCTAGTACTAGTAGAGCATTTCAGCTTCTCAAGTTTTAAGGCATATCAATCACGCAACTGTTCCTTTCCATTCTAATATGTATGGTGAAATCAAACTTAATTTCCATCGAGAAGGATAGACAGATTCAAACCAGAAGATCAAGTTGGAGTAAGAGGCCAGCCACAACTGGACATTGGTCTTGAAGGGCTGTCTGCATATAAACGAGGAAGGTGTGCATTGTACTGAAAGAACCTTCTTCCTTTATAATGTGGAGGATTTGTTCATTGAATGTCCTCCTGAAGGAAACCAAAAGGTTGAATTAACCTATTAAGGAGCCCAAAATACATCAACTACAAAGTAAAGTAATATGTTTAACGCAACGATATATATGAACCAGATTTACCTATTTAATTTGACTAACTCAGAAAAAAATTGAATTATCTTAAAACGTTCTGCATCATTCGCCCCAACGAAGCTTTCCAAAATGGGAGAGAGCTCAACTCTTTCAGCAATGACGTGCCTGCAAGTTCCATCCTCCTGGATGCATCTTAATAAGATCTCTGCTGCAGCAATCCTCTCCTCTGCCCACTCAGCTCGAAAACTGCCAATTATATATCCAATTACTCTATTAGTTATCAAAGTCTTGGCTACTGAAGATGCAATTCTCTCCTCATTGCTTCCAAGAATCCGTGCCAGTAAAAGTACCACAGCTGACTTTGGCTTTATGCACATCTTAAGCAAGTCCTCCTCTTTCTTATCAAAAACTGTTATGAGAGACTCCAGCATGGCCATTTCTGCAAGAGTCGTAGTAGGAGGTTTCAGAAGATATATTAGTACAACAGCCTCGGTCAAGCCTTTCTTGAAAAGTGCCATAATGCATTCTACATCAGAGTCCACTTGGGTAAGAGTCTGAATAACAGCATTGTCTCTAGTACCCATCTCAGCCAGAAGAAAAACTGTTACTTGAAGCACCTGGGGATCAACAGAATTAAATAGAATTTCCATAAACCCATTAATGATTGGAGGTTTGGATAGCATGCTTTGGATATCCACTCCCAGGTTTACTTCTTTCCATAATTGCTCAATTTGAAGCACAGCCATCTCAGACTCCTCGAGGACCTCTGACATATACAGCTTGTTGATTGCATGTCGTAACTCACGAATCATCCCATCAACATTGGCCTGTGTTATAACACTATTAGGAGAAGTTGAAGGCATTGTTGACTTGATTTCTACTTCAGTTTCAGCATGTAGACTGTCAGATGGAGATGGAGATGGGATTGAATTGGGATTCTGTTCTTTCCAACTTGCAATTAGTCGTTTGAGCACATAATTTGTTTTAGGAAGTTGGGTATTTTGCAGCTTCTGGCGAGTGATTGGACAGGTTGAGTTCCCCCTGTTAAACCACTCTTCGATGGCTTTCCGTTCATATGTCTGACCTGTCTCAAGAGTCACTGGATCATCAAAGAGATTGCTAGTTATTGGGCAGACAAAGTCCTTGGGAGGCATACATTTTTCGTTTCTATGCGGCTGGTGATCATAATCTGCCATGGCATAATCTGGGGAACTAGAAACATGAAGAATCCAAGTTTGAGAACACACAGCAAACAACAAAACTATGATAAATGAATATTTCTATGGCATACCGTCCAGGTTCTGATTCTTGGATTTGGCTTCGTCGAGGCTTCAGTGATACCATCATGTTGTCTTTTTCCTACGGGACATAACTTCACTGCTTCAAAACATAAACTATTATAGCTAGCTTAGTGAATTTAGTCCGCATTGCATTTTGCTCTTCTTGTAAGTATCGATTACCTCAGTTTCTGCTTCAGATTCTGACGAATAGCAAGGCATATTTTCATCCACCGAAGGCTCAGTTCCAGCGTCTATGTCTGAATGGGATGGTAAGGACAGATTTTTAGAAGATTCTTGGTGTTTGAGAATTTTAGGAGAGACTCTTTGAGGATAAAATGGTGCATTCAACCACTTGGCGCTGAAACTGCTACTCGAGAGTGCCGTTTCGGTCCATATTGGCTGCTGTCACGGGAAAAATTAAAATTTAAAAAAGGAGAAAAGTCGAGGAGGGATCCCATTAAAAAATTAATATCAAATTAAATTTTTTTTATAATTAAAGTTTTTAACTTTAATATCTGTTTCAATACTAAAATTTTTAATTTAATATTCCATCCGTCCTAAATTATAAGATACTTTTAAATAAATTTTACATATTAATAAACTTCATTAAATACACTTAACAACCTTATTTTTTCAAAACAAAAATATAAACTTCTCAAAATATCCATAATTTAATATAATGAAAAAAAATGATGAAAATTAATTATAAAGAGAGAAATGATAATATTAAAATTGGAGTATTTAATAAAATATTAATATACTCAAAGTATCTTATATTTTGAGATGAAAAAACTCCTTCAAAATTGCCTTATAATTTGGGACAGAGAGAGTATTAATTTTTTATGAGGTCCCTATTTGTACTTCTCTTTTAAAAAAAGTAATGTGTATATCCTTTATCATATTGATTAAATAATTAATAGCTTTATAAAAATTAGAGAAAATGATAATAAAATCATCTCAAATTATGTAAATGACAATCTAATCCCTTAAAATGTCATAATTTCATTCTATGTTAATAAATTTTAAAATAAAAAATTATTTTATCAAAACAACAAGTCAAGTTACAACTTTTGCTTAAGAAATAATAACTTTTATTTTGCAAGTCACAAGAGTTAAACAATAAACCATAGTATTATTAAAAAATAAATTCTCAAAACAATAAGTCTCAATCACAATTTTTACTTAAAAAATAATAATTTTTATTCTGTAAATTGTAATAGTTATACAAAAAATTACAGTTTATCAAGTGTAATTTATATTATTAAAAAATTTTTCACAATAATAAGCTCCAATCACAATTTTTATTTAATAAATAATAATTTTTATTTAAAAAATTGTAAGAATTGAATAAAAAATCATAATTTATCAATAAAAATAAAATAAACTTTTTAATTTAAAATTTATTAATAAATTTTTTTTATAAATTTAAATAAAATTATAGTATTTTAAAAAATTAAATTATTATTTATATAATTGTTAAGACTTTTATTGTTATTTTTTCAAAAATATATGTATAAATGAAAAGCAACTTAGAAAAATATAACAAAAGTAAGTACAACATTACATTATACCGTCCGTTCTTAAACAAAGGCACACTTGTTTCCGCTGTCTCCCCTTGGCTATGCTCGACTTCTGCATCTTCTCTATCGCTCTTCAGAACCGACAATGGCGGACTGGTTGACGAGTCCCCGTTATTATTCACCAAAACTTCTTTGAAGTACTCGGCAATAATCCTGCAATTATCATCAATAGCCTCTTCGTAGTCTCTCTCCAATTCCCTTAGCTTTGAAGCTTGATCATTGCTCATCTGCGACAAAGATTTCGTGGAGGGCAAGACGACATATTCATCCGAAATTGAATAATCGTCTGGGTAGCGCGCTGAATTTTCTGATGTAGATGGCAGTATTCTCGCTCTTTGTTCATCGAAGGATCGGAAAACTGGGAGGAGGTGGAGAGAAAACAGCTGCTCGTAGAGAATCGGAGCGATTTCCGATCGGGCCAACGAAGGGCTTAAATAGAAGGTTTGAAGAAGACTTAAGGCGGCTTCAAGTTGGCGCTTGTTGATCATGTATATGAGAGAGAGAAGGAAAGAGGAAACGGGGTTTTGAGGTAGAGGAAGGAGGAGCTTCTCGGCGAGGTTGAGGGAGGAGGATCGAATGGCGGGATTGGAGACAGAGATAGCATTATCGAGAGTATTGGCGGCGAGATTGAGGTGTTTGAGGGTGATTTGGCTGGAGATTTGAGACTCACGAAGGAGGGTGGAAATGAGGCGGCGTCGGAGCTGGGAATGCAAGAGGACGTCGGAGATGAAGGCGGAGGTGTGTTGAAGGATCTGAGAAGAAGTGGTGGTGGTGGTGTTGGTGGTGGTTGAGATGGACATGGCGGTGGTGGAAGCGAGAGGAGCAAGGAGAGGCTTTGGAGGATGAAGACAATGGAGTTTGGAGTCACAATATTGGAGGCTTCTTTCATTAGTATCGGTAATAGCAATTCAATTTGCCGGCGCGAAAAGTCTCAGCAAGGACGGGCAGACGACTGACTCTGATATGACCACTTTGCATTTTTTTTAAATATGCATGCCAGAATTATTCCCGCAATATTACTATTTAATATTGAACAATGTTTTTAAAAGGGGACCCAACCGGCCGGTTGGATCGAAAATCAATCATTGGTATGATCCAATTAATGTTCAAAACAATGGACTGGCTGAAACGGTCAAGAATCAGTAAACTGATCAACAAACTGAGAAGACCGAAAAAGGTGACCGGATGACTGGTTCAAGAGGTGTAAGAGATTCAAGCTGAAAAAATAAGAGGGAAGAGGCTTAGAGGAAATGTGAAGATGAAAAAAGAAAAGATATTTATAAAAAACCAAGGAAAAAAAAAAAAGAGATTTTATAATAAACCACCACCTTAGGTATGTCTTTCCTGTCACAAAACTATCTGTTCGACCATGAAATCATCTGATGCCAAGAGCCTCAAAATGATAGCCACGGCCACAGAGTAGAGGTGCACATGGGCTGGGTTGGGTTGGGCAAGGCCTTGCTCGATGCCCTGCCCAAAGGATGCATGGGCTGAAAAGTATAACCCGCTGCCCAGCCCTGCTCGTAAGATGCCCTATTAGCTTGGGCTGGGCAGGGCAAGTTGGACACCTTTGGGTTGCCTTGCCCATCAGATAATCTCCCTTTCCATCAATTTTAAATAAAACTATCATAAATCAACAACAATGACCCAACCCATCAACTCAAAATAACATTCATAAAGATGTAAACTATAAATACAAAATAACAGCTATGATATTCAATTATCTATAATTCAACATCTAACTTGAAATATAAAACTACCATAAGTCTTGACACATAGTAAAATTATTCATAATGCAATCCAAAATAATAGCTACAATAATCCATTAAAAATAATAAATTTTACAAAAGTTTGGAGCATCGTAAAAAAAAAAATAATTTCACAGAGTAGACTTCAATTTACAAAAAACTTCTTCCCAATTCCTCTTTCCGTCTTTCCTTAAGTCTTAATAGTTATATATAATTGACCCTTTAAAAAATATATTAATGTACCCGGGCTGGGCCAAATGGGTAGGGCATGCTACCCTGCCCGTGGCCTGGCCCTGTCCAAACATGCCTAAGTCATGTCGGGCAACTTTTTTTAGGGCCGGGTTGGGCAAAATTTTATCGGGTTTGGGCGGGCATATCGAGCAATCGGATTACATGCACACTCCTACCGCAGAGGAAAGGAGAAAATGGGGTTGGGGGCTTTTTGTCTTTTGTTATTATATGAAGGATATTAAAAGCATATTTTCTCTCCATGTGCAGCATCCCATTATTATATTATTAATATAAAGAAAACATAACTTTAGTCCCTATATTTTACTTGCATTTATTATTATTTTTACATTTTTTTTTGATGTTTTAGGTCCTTTGAATTTTATTTTTCAGTGTTTTAAGTCTGAATAAAAGGTCTTACCTTGAAAGGACTTGAAACTTTAAAAAATAAAAATTTAAAAATTTAAAACATTAAAAAAAGTGTAGGATAAACAGCAAATGTGAGTAAAATATAAGAATCTAAAATTATATTTTTTTATTAATATATTAAATAATAGAGCATGGAGAAAGAAAGCAATGAAGCGACGTCCGTCATGATATTAAAAAGGAGCCGTTAAAAAAAAAGTGTGAAAAGAAGCAGCAGGAGTACAGGATAATACAAAAATTATTTATTATTTATTTCATGGACAATGCAAACATTTTGATGAAAAGATTAACATTAATACCATTAAATGTTAATTTTTTTGGATAATCAAGGAAATTTTATTAAATGCTATTTATATTATAAAAAATGAAGTGGATGAAATAAAATATATTAAAATATTAGTTTTTATGATTTTGCATGAACTAATTTTGTGACATAGATGTATATATATTATTAAAAATATTAAAATAATTACATTTAGTTCAACTATGATTTGACCTCAATCGAACCATTAACTCTTGAACCAAGGAATCGTCCTATTTAATAATAGATCTAATTTTTAAAACCCTAAATATTTAAAGCTGTTTTTTCAAGTCTATGATATGAGTCCAGTGAAGTAATTTTTATGTACAAAAGAAAATTATTGTTGAGCAACTTCAATAGTGACACGTCACTTTATATTTAATTTAAATGGTTTATAATTTTTTTGTTCGTATTTTTTATATATATTGGTATATACATATTTCATGTGTTAGGCCCCTTTTTTATTTTCTTTATAAAACTAGATTAACTCTCTGCGCGAGGGAAGGGAGATTACTTTTTAAAAGAACAAAATCCTATAAATTAGAAGAAGGTGATAATAAAATCTATGAATTGTAGTTTGTATATACAATGATAATAATTGGAAGTGTATCATACCTCACAATAATACCTGTTCATTTTCACCTCTCAAAATAATATTCAAGATGGCTCGAAGGGGAAAATGTAATAGTCTCATTATGTTTTATTTGATTAAATTATATCTTTATTATGTTTTAATCATATATATTTATTGATATTCAATGGTTAAATGTGAGTTTTCAAATCAACAAACCTTTATATAATATAAAAACTTTTAACTATTTATACTATTTATAAGTTATAAATAAAAAAGTTAAGGGTCATTTTTATTCCCTAACCTTACCAAATTATCATTAGGAACTCTAAACTCAATTATGGGTAATTTTTATCTCTCAACATTAAATATTCCCTCCTTTATTATCTTGATAAAAATATTTAATGTTTATTAATCATTAGTGATTCCTACTATTTTGTAAATATTTTTATTGAAAATTATTTTTATTCCTCAACTTTTATTCGAAAAATCAATGAACACCTTCAATTCAAATATTTTATGATAAAAATATTTAAAAATATAATATAAAGCTCACTAATTGTTGAGAGGATCTTTAAAGTTAAAAGGATATTTAAAATTAAGATGTCAAATTAATCAATAGTTACACTTAGAATCCCTAATTATCTTTTGGATAAAATTGGGAGGTGAAAATAACCATTAATCCCACATAAAACAGAAGAGATGAGGGGCATTTTGGAGATTTCATTGACTTCGAAGTGTGGAGGAACCCAGGTAGGCCGCCTTGCCGGCCAAATTGACCGTTACAAGGAACAATACATTCACATCATCACATGTTCATCGCATTGAATTGAAGCCGTGCTTCAATCCGTCCGTGTTCCTCGCTTTCACTTTCACTGTCAAGTTGTACGATTTCTGTTATTTTACTCCGCGAGCTCTCCCACGCGTCTTCTCTTGTTTTTTTTTTTTTTTTGGTTTTTTTTGTTCTATTGACTAGTATTTTGGAAAATGTGGAGTATTATATCACCTCTCACTTACATTAATCCGAACCCTTGTAGGATTTTTATAACCAACAATGACTGACCTCATGAATATCTTAAGAATGCTCTTGGTATATTTAATTATTTATTAAATAAATGAGTAAATTATTCTCTAAACTTTAGGTTAAGTAGCACCAAAGATTTTGAATTTATTTTTTTGTGCAAATTGCTCTCTCAACTTTTAAAATAGTGCAACTTGACCTTACCATTAAATGAAGTTAATTGTGACTGTTATTTGACCAAAAAATGATGTCAAAAATTATATAAAAAGTGAAAAAAAATACAATAAAGGACTTGAAAATTGCAAATAAAGACCAAAAAAATTACATGAAAGAATAAAAAAAATTGATCCTTTTTTATAATTTTTAAAGTCCACTTTTTATCATTTTATGGTCAACTAACTATTAAAGTTAATTTTTGTTGATAATAGGGACTAAATTGTATTGTTTTTTTAAAAGTTGAGGAAATAATTTTCACAATAAACAAATTTAAGGTTTTTGATGTTATTGAACCTAAAATTCAGACAATAATTTGCTCATTAACTCTTATTTATTTAATGCAATTTCATATTGCAGGTGTTGAACTTAAGACTTTGAGATAAACTAATCAATTTTCACAATCTTTTTTTTTTAAAAAAAATCCATACTAGCTAGCATTCTACGTAAATTCCACTACGTTTCTTTCCGCGCAGCTTGTTTGTGTGTGTGTGTGTGTGTGTGTGTGTGTGTGATTTTTAAGTGCCCCTCTCTATCGTCTTCAGTCTTGTTTTTTTGATTGGGATAAATAAAGAATATAAGTTAGTTGCCTTAGGTTTCGCGCTGCCTTGCTCTGTATTTTGATTCAGGTCATGCATCGACTTATTCGTTCGATGTTCAAAACATAATATGCAGAGTACACATCTTTCTCATTGACTCTTACTACTTCTGATATTCTAGCAATAATCTAGCTCCTCTTGCATTCTATGATTCTACGCATATTTTTTAATCACCTTTTTATAATAGTTTCTCCGCGCATCTACCGTACCTTCATGCAAATTTATTTTTATTTCTTAATTTAATATTTCATACTTTTTAATGAAAATAAATATGATATTATTCTATAATATTAACTAATTTTAATTTGAATTTCGATATATATATATATATATATATATATATTTGAATACATAGACAGTCACGGCGGCAGAGGAAAGAAGGACATGAATGGAGTTAGGGATTTTGTCTTTTGGTATTATAGGAATTACGGAACTAGGAAAGATAATTAGACTGGAGGAAGCATATTTTTTCTCCATGTGCAGGCATCATATCCCAGCGTCGAGCAAAAATCAAAAACAAAAACAAAGACAAAACAAAATAAAAAACAAAAAGAAAAACGACAGGCGAGAAGACTTTGACATGAGAGGAAAATAAAAAAAATTATTTATTATTTATTTCGTGGACAATGGAAAAATTTTGATGAAAAGATTAACATAAATAAAATTTTGACAAAAATAACCTTATTCATTGTAGAAATATATTTGTATATAATAAAATTTAATATTTTAATATATTATTTATATAACTTTTATTATATGTTACTAATTAAATAAAAATAAAACTGTAAATTCTTTTATTTGACGGCTAGCAAAAAAAAATATTTTTTCAATTTTAATTTTTATTTATTATATTATTAAATATATAATAATCTAAATTTTAAAAAGGGAGGGAAATTTAATCAAAATGGAGGGAGGCAACAGGTAGGAAATGAAAAG